TAAGTGATGAAGGAGACAAGGGCTAAGAAAAGGACAAGACAGAGGACTCAACCTTTTGGATTGATTTCAGAGCCTTTTAGAATGTGAGACACCAGGAAGTATGCTTTTAGGTCAATGAGCAGTCTGAGCCCAGATATGGCTTTCTTTCCTGGGTAATGTGACATCAGAGCAGTCACCCGCCTCCTGTCCCCCTGCAGTGGACATCAGCAGTGCTCTGCCCGCACCTGAGAACCATCCAGAGTGCCCCCGTGACTCTGAGCTCTCATGTTTGTGTCAGAGGCCCTCTTATGTGAGAAGCCTGTGAAGCCTCACTGCCTATGACAGGCTAGAAGTGCCAGGAAATGCACAACCCAAAATCTGCCATTGATTCTCAGTGATTAGTGCCTAATCACCCCAACCCCCTCACCTCTGGAATGGGATGATTCTGAGTCTTATGTTTTACCCTATTTCCCTGAGTTTTCATGGATATAGCTTCAGTTACTAAGTAGTATGCCCAGTAATGGCTCCCTCCCTTCCCTGATGCACTCCCCTGCTGGTATTTCCTGCAGTTCCCAATGAACTACATGTACTCAAATCCTCGTTCTGTAAGAACACAAGCTAGATGCTAACTAATGATCCAGAAATACAAACTGGGAAATTAAGCGGCAGGGAACCACAATTGACAAACCTTGACTTTTCCATCAACGCCCTTTGTCTTCTACCTTCTCTGCTTTGGAGATCCCCTCTTCATCCACCCCACCTTCGCCGCCATCTTCAGGGCTCCCTCTTCTCTGTAGTTCTTCAAACAATTTGGTTTCTTGTAACTTGAAAACAGGTTTCCATTTGTCTCTGCAATGCCCTTCACTCACAGTCCTTTATATCCCATTTCCTGCCTCGCCTAATTTTCAAATAAGCATCTTAAAAAATCGCCTCAATTTTCTCTTTCTTCACTTTTTGCTTAACCACTGACAAAGTGGTTACCACCGTTACACTTTAGTCAAACAGCTCTCAAGTCCCCACCAACCGCCTTCTTATTACAAAATGTAGAGGTCCCTTTTCTCTTCTCTTGTCACCTCTGTTACCATTGAGCATATCGACAGCATTCTCTTCCTGAAAATTGTCTTGGGTAATTGAATTCTTAGAACTTTAGCAGTGGAAGGGACAGTGATTCCAACCCTTTCATTTTACATCGGGGTGAAACTGAAGGTACAAAAGGTCCAATGATTTGCCTAGCAAAGTGCAAAAGTATAAAGGCAGGACTTTGAATCCAGGGCTTCTGACCTACTAATCCAGTATGGAAACTGCTTTCTTTTGTAAGTCCTTATCCAAAACTTCCCAAGTATTTCTAATTTTATCCCTGCCTGTATGAGTGTCTCCCAGCTGGTCTCTTATCTCCTCACCACCACAGCTCATCCTCCATTGCAGCAGTCAGGATGATATTTCTGAAATCTAAATCGGAACCTATCACTCCTCCACGTATCTCCATTGCTTCTTTCTTGCCCTTAAAATAAAATCCAAACTGCTTTCTGTACCTTGCAAGACACTCCATGGTCCAGGTTTCTTGTTGATCGCATTTCCTATTATTCACACTATAAGTCCATCACATAGACTATTCTCAACTGGCCTGCGTGGTAAGTTTATAGCCTTGCCACTGGGAGTTTACTTTACTGTTGCTTCTTTTGGTAATGCTTTTCCCCAGACCATTGCTCAACTGCTTCCTTCATATCAGCTGGTCTCAGCTCAGATGGCCACCTCCTCCAACAGCCCTACACTGAAGTCACCATATCTAATATTGTCCTAAATATACCACTGTCCATCCCATTATGATGTTTGATGTTACCAAGGGCATTTACCATTAGCTACAATTACATAACTTATTTAGGGCTTGTTATGTTTCCCACCATTCAAATATATGCTCATGCAACTTTACTGTATCTCCAGCATATAGAACAGTGAATTGCCAATGGCTGGAGCTCAATAAACATTTGTAGGATGAACAAATGAATGGATAAGTCATGTCTGAATTTTTCTTTTTCATATCCAGGAATCCTTTCTCTCTTTTACTCTTCAATCCTATTCCTCAACTACTATCTCAAAAAAGTTTTCTGTACTATAATCTAACTGGTTTCCTCATAAACCAATAAGAGCAAAACATATTTCTGACCGAGAATCTTTCTTCCAGTTTTCTCTTTGACCAAAAATCCCACACTTTGCCTCTCTAACTATTCAAGTTGCATCACTCTGTCAAAGCATAAGTCATGTTCCATTTTCATGAAATCACATCTCACAGCCCTCATTGATCACCCTTATTCAAATTATATAAAATAAATTTTATGTTTTATGCAATCTAAATACTCATACATAATCTATTTTATCTTGAATTATTTCCAGTCGTTCCATATAATAATATTTAAGCTTTGGGTCTAGACACTTTAGATGTATATGTGTCCGTATGGCTATGTTCAGTTGATTCTCATTATGTGCAGATTCTGTATTTGTGAACTCACCTACCCCCTAAATTTATTATTGGTCCCGAAAATCAGCACTTGCAGTGTTTTCATGCACGTCCACAGAATGATGAAAACTTTGTCACCTGGCATGCTCATCCCCAGCTGAGGTCAAACAAGTCAACACTCTGTCTCTGGTTTCACTGTCACACTGTAAATTAGTATCCTTTCTGTGCTCTATTTAGAGCCACATTTTTTACATTTTATGCTTTTTGTTAGTGATTTCACTGTTTAAATGGCCCCTAAACATAGTATAGAAGTGCTGTCTCATGTTCCTAAGTGCATGAAAGCTGTGATGTGCCTTATGGGAAAATGGGTGTTAGGTAAACTCTGTTCAGGCATGAGGTGCTGTTAGCAATCAGTTTAATGTTAATGAATCAACAGTATGTATTACATAAAGATTCTTTAAATAGAAACACTCATAAAACAAGATTATATATTGATTTGTGATGAAAATGTTGTGACCAGAGGCCTACAGGAACCAAATCCTATATTTCCCCTAGGATCAATGATTCAGTTTTCACTAATACAGGGCTCATAACAAGTTTATAGAACATAATTACAGTGAATAATGAGAATTGACTGTATATGTGTATATATTATATATTTTGGCATTTGCCTTATTAGGCATGTGGGAGACAAAGAAACCAAAAGTTATTGAAATTCAATGGTTTGCACAAGATTATTTGCCAAGCTGGTAAATGGTAGATCTAAAATCTTGACTGCCATATTCCAAAGTCTTTGACTGTTCACTAACTATACGAGCGACTTTTCTTTGTTTAATTACCTGCAGAACCTGACTATTACAGGGTATGTGTGTGTGTATATGGGTAGCTACTTGTATATGTGTGTATGCATATATGGAATTGACTGAAAGAATAATGGAAAGCCATAATTGATTTTTAAACAGTTTGCTTTACAATCCCAATTTAAGGTTTAATTATAGTAATCCCAAATCTTAAGAAAAAGTAGGAAAACCTTTTCATTTCAAAGTTGAGTTCGTAAATCTACAGATTTTATATTCCTTGTTATGGAAATGAAAGTCTCACAAGCAACCAAACCTTAAAGAATCAAAGCTGTAAACGTACTGTCATGACTTGGATTTTTTTTCTGGCCTGCAGATCTTCACCTCAAACCTCCCCGACATTTATCTGAGTCAAACTCACACATGCTATGGAGGTGAACACACCTACACATTGTGTGTGATTAGACAGGCCACCTGCCGCCTTCCTAATCAATTGTGTGCTTATACAGAGAGATTACAGGAGAAATTATATCTTGAAATCCACACAAAACAGATTAACACAGGACAAGATACTATGTGGTCTTCAGATATATGTATATATCTGCACATATACATATATGTACATACACATGAAGATATTTTTATATACCTCATAATTTATTCTCAAAAAATAAGTTAAATATTGTTGAAACCTCCAAAGGACTTTTATGAGCAGTTTTAAAACCTGTTTTTCTTCCTCTTGTGCTATTCTTCTCTAAGTAGACAGTAAAAGTTTCTGGAGGTTAAGAATTGTATCTTCTGTACTTCTGTATTTGCAAATGATCTTAGTGTAGTGATAAATATTTTTAAAAACTCTGATTATTGATAATCCAATCTATGATTGACAACCAGCTGTTCTAAGACAATGGTTTCTGCAACACTGTGGTTGGAATTAGTGTAATGGAGTCACCTGGTTCTGTAGCATCAGGGTCTGGATGTCCATACAAAATAAATGACATTTTTTTCATAAGATATTCTCTTGACATTTCCTTTTTCCCTTGAAAACAAAAGCCCCTCATGAGACTCAAATTTTAACACTTCTTAACATCCACAAAGCTGCCAGAGACAGGGTTGAGTGAGGTGCTTCCAATAAGGAGGTAAGACAAGATAACAGTATTTTATGTCTGCCTCAAGGCTGCACTACAAATCCTGAAATGCTAGAAAAGGTACAAGGGGTTCTTAAGGGGTGTGTCATTACTGAGCCAAAGGAACTAATTGGGTTCAGCTTAGAATTCTAAATTCTAAGAATTCACTTAACTCACTATCATGTCAATATTTCTTGAACATTTCCCTTAAATTATTTCAATGGATTTATGCCCAATGGCTTTAATGATTCTTTTTTGAGGAGCTAAGCTATTCACAAATCAAGGCATAAAGGTTGATTTATTTCTGCCCAATTTAAAGCACAGCTGGATTTTATGGTGCAGATGAGAATGGATTAATCACAGGACTCTACCCAAGGCTTTGTTGGCTAGGTCACTTCTCCAACTGGGCAGAAGATGTGTGTATTCAGAGGTGGTGACCCAATGGCTTTGTTCTGACAGGAATTGTTAAAAATTATCTACTGTGTTTACTAATATAAGCACCACTCATAATTTGTTTAGCAAAATCTCTACCTCAGCCCCAGAAAGAATGCAAAAGCAATAAGGAGATTCCAAAATTTTCATCTGTAGTCTCTTGCTTATTTTTCAGTGGAGATTATTGCAAACAATAATTCTTTCTTGTTTCAGGAAAAGCAGTCAGAGGATGAGAGAAAACACAAAGAATCTTTGGAAGATCTTCACATGGTGGTGGACGAAGATGCAAGGAGTGAAAGCAGCAGTGCAGATGAGGGGAAAGAAAAGACCAAATTGCTGTTACAAAGGTTGAAAGCTCTAGAGGTAAGAAATAAAGCCATTTTTATACATTTAAAGAAAAAAATAAGTGTTCCACTTCTTTTATTGGCATTGGTTTTGAGTGAGTATAAATCTTCCTTTCTCAATTCTCAGTTCCCCACCCTAATAGGTTCTAGTCTCCCCCATTGTGCTCAAAGGCTCTCAACCAAGTGACTGTGAGTGTATTGCCGTAGCCAGAGAACGTCAAACAATAATTCACTTTAAATTCAGTTGAGCCCTCAGACTGGACCAGTTCCCCTAAAATTGCAAGTTTCTTGAAAGAAGGGGCTGTTTGATATTTCAATTTGTTTACTCAATACCTAGTATAATGAATGAATAAGTGAATTAAGAGATAACTGTAAAAATGTTAAATTTTAGTCAGAACCATTATTTAAAAGAAAAAAAAAATCTGTGCTGAAGTTCACCTTGTAAATCATGAAAGTAGATATGAAGTTTGGCTATAAACAGTACTTCAGAGAGGTTTTTGGGCCATAACAGTCCTCCAAGACACTGAAACCTCTGATATATTACTTAATGGCATTTGATGTCACTTTAAGTGTTAATTCCTGAATGTGTATAGCAGTCCTCAAAGAACATTCCAGGTGTTAGTTCTTGATTGAGACTTCAAATGCTGAGAGTTTCAGCAAAGATGCCTTTTCTATGAGTGGGCTTAAATCCTTTCAGTAAATTTTCTGTTAGCATGCAGAACTGAGGCACAATTACTTTTAAGCAAGGACAATGAGTGGTCCATCTCTTCTTAAACTAGGTACAAGGGGTCTTCATTCAGAACCTCTAAAAATGTAGTTCTCCATTCAGGTCTAAAGAATCCCGAAAACTTCAGCAGAGTTAAAGAAATCAGATTGGAGACATCTTGTTTTCTATGGTTGGTTCCTGAAATCTTGCCTTGAATCCACCGTGTGATCTATAGTGGGCATACCCTTTTTACTCTAATTTCCTCAGCAAGAGTAAACAAATTTGTTAAAATTGTGGGCTTTGGAACCAAATTCCCAGGGTTTGATTTAAATTCTAGTTGTACTACTTTCTAGTTAGTTTTGAAACTATGGGCAAATTAACTAGGCTCTCCAGGCCTTTGTTTCTTCAACAGCAGAAAATGAGGCTAATAGTAACTTACCTTTCAGAGAAGTCATGAGGACTCAGTAAGTTAATACTTGTGCGGCAGTGTCTAGCACATGTGCTCTTCTACCCACTTCCTCCAAGGCGCCTGCCATTCCTTAAGTCGTTTTTTCCGTATGTATCTCATTACAGTAATCAACACAACAACTCAATGAAAAAAAAAAATCAGACAAGATCAAGCGTGTTCAGGGTGGTTATTTTGCATTTTCTCCTAAAACTCCTTAGATTTTACATATTGATTTTTAACTCACCTGAATATTTTTTGTATAATGCATGAAATAGGGCTCTATATTTGCTTTATTTCAAGTAATAGTGGTCCATGCACCTTATTTGTTGAATGAGGCTTGTTTTCTCCATTCATTTGAAATATCAATGTAATAATATATTACATGGTTAGACAGATATAGTCATTTGTTTCTACAATGCTCATTTTATTTCATTGGTCTACTTGGAAAAGAAAAGAAAAAAATCAACGACTATATTCACAAGTGACTGAAGGTAGAGAGGTTAAGCAAGTGGTATACACATGGGCAAAAGAGAGGGCAGCTCCTCTTGTGCAAATGGCTAGGAATCCCTCCTTTCTCCCCAAAGTTTCTCACTTTTTTTTCATTTTTTTAAGATTGTCACTGTGAAAACTGTGAAAGCCTTCTCAAGAAACACTGAGGTTTCTATCTGAGAGTTTTGGGAAACTCGTATCTTTGTCTTCAGGAGGAATTAACTGGCTTTAACTCAATAGGAATGAGTGAATATTACAAGTTCTTACTTCCTGAGAACCATGTATTTACATTGTTAGTTTGACTTATGATTAGAGTAAAAAATGCTTTTAGTTTACCTAATTGTCACTGATAAACCTTTGTGAAGAACATTTTATTTAATCAAGTCAAGAGGTATTTTAAAAATATATATTTCTTATTAGCTCCCACTAGTTTCTTTTTTAAAATTATATTTTATTGACTATGCTATTACAGTTGTCCTGATTTTTCCCCCCTTCCCCCTTCACCCAGTACTTCCAACTCCCTCAGGCAATCCCCCCACCATTGTTCACGTCCATGGGTCACTCATATAAGTACTTTGGCTACTCCATATCCTACACTGTACTTTACATCCCTGTGGCTCTTCTGTAACTGCTTATTTGTACTTCTTAATCACCTCACCTCTTCACCCATTCTTCCCCACCCACCTCCCACATGACAACCATTAAAACGTTCTCCGTATCCATGATTCTGTCTCTTTTCTTCTTTTTTGCTTAGTTTCTTTTTTAGATTCAGTTGTTGATAGATATGTATTTTTGTGCCATTTTACAATTCATAGTTTTGACCTTTTTCTTAAATAAGTCCCTTTAGCATTTCATGTAATAGTGGTTTCGTGATGATAAACTCCTTTAGTTTTTTCTTATCTGGGGAGCTCTTTATCTGCCCTTCAATTCTAAATGATATCTTTGCTGGGTAAAGCAGTCTTGGCTATGGGTCTCTGCTTTTCATGACCTTGAATATTTCTCATCAATCCCTTCTAGCCTGCAAAGTTTCTTTTGAGAAGTAAGCTGATAGTCTTATGGGAATTCCCCTGCAGGTAACTAACTTCTTTTCTTTTGTCTTTTTTAAGATTATCCCTTTATATTTAACCTCCAGAATTTTAACTTAATTATGATGTGCCTTGGAGTGGGCCTCTTAACATGCATCTTGTTTGGGACTCTCTGTGCTTCCTGGACTTGTGTGTCTATTTCCTTCACCAAATTAGGGAAGTTTTCTAGCACTATATTTTTTTCAAATAGATTTCCAAATTCTTGCTCTTTCTCTTCTCCTTCTGGTACCCCTATGATGTGAATGTTGGACCTCTTGAAGATGTCCCAGAGACTTCTTATACTATCCTCAATTTATTGGGTTCTTTTTTCTTCTTGTCTTTCTGACTGGTTGTTTTTTGCTACCTTATTTCCAATTTGTCGATTTGATTCCAGCTTCATCAACCCTACTGTGTTTCCTTGTAAATTGTTCTTTACCTCAATTAATGTATCCTTCATTTCTGACTGGGTCCTTTTATGCTGTTGAAGTCCTTACTAAGTTCCTTGAATATCCTTATAAACGGTGTTTTGAATTCTGCATCTGACAGATTGCCTATCTCCATTTTGTTTAGCTCTGTTTCTGGTGTTTTGATTTGTTCTTTCATTTGGGCCATGTGTCTTTGTTGTTCTCTCAGTCTGGCAGCCTCCTTGTGTTTATTTCTATGTATTAGGTAGAGCTGCTTTGACTCTGTGTCTTGGCAGTGTGGCTTAGTGTAGCAGGTGTCTTCTAGGTTCTAGTGGCACAGCCTCCCCTCTCACTCAAGCTGGAAGCCATTCAGGTGGGGTATGTATACCTTCCTCTTGTAGGTGAGTCTCGGGTACTGCTCACAGATCAATGGGAGGGATCTACCCAGGCCAATTAGCTGCAAAGACATGCTGTGACCACTGACCACAAAACCCTGCCCTCCATGGAGGATCAACTGTGCAGGGACAGGGTGTTGGTGTTCTGACATGGTCTATAGTTGTCCACTGGGTGCACTGGCCCTGGGGTTTCGCAGGTGATCCAGGCCAAGGTCAGCCCCCACCTGTGTTCTTCCCAGGGCACCCTGCCTGAGCTGTAAAGCAATCTGAGATGGCTGCTATGTGTGTTGGGCTTGGAGATTCCCAGGCAAAGCAAAACTGTGAATCTAGGCTGGCTGCTGCTAGTGCTGGGCCTGTGGCTCACTGATGCCAGCTTTTGCTTTTTTGGTAGGATTTAGGAAGTTGTGAAGCATGAGCCACGACCAGCCATTCATATGGAAAAGCAGCTTGGGTGGGCCTGTAAGTTGGATGGGGCAGAGTCTCTGGGGATCTCCAAGGCATGTCAAACAGTGTTAGCCAGGTTGATGGAGTCTCAGATATGGCACCAGCTTGCCATTCCATGGGGTGAGAGTTTAGAAAAGGGACACTGGCCTCTGTTCTCATTGATGCCAGATACTTCAGATTCTCCCTGTATACCACTGGTGCTTTTCAAGCTGCTCCCATGGTGCTGGATATCTGAAGGAGTGAATCTGAGTAGGTGAGTCTCTGTATGGGTTCTTTAAGAGGAACTGCTTGGGGCTTCAGTAGTTTCTTCCATCAACTCAATCCCTGCTGGTTTTTACAGCCAGAAGTTGTGGGGACTTATGTTCCTGGCACAGGAACTCTGGGCTTGGGGGCCTGGTGTGAACCTGGGACTCCTTGCACCTTATATATCACTACTAAATTTTTATCCAGCACACATGGGTGTGGGACCAGCCCGTTCGCATCTGCACCCCTCCGGCCAGCCTGGATGGATGTGGTTTCTTTAATTCCATAGTTGTCAGACTTCCATTCAACTTGATTTTATAGTTGTCAAACTTCCATTCAACTTGACTTCTGATGGTTCTGAGTGATGGTTGTTCTATATTTTAGTTGTAATTTTGATGTGGTTGTGCAAAGAGGCGAGCTATGTCTGCCTACACTGCTATCTTGACCAGAAATCAAAATATCTTTGGCAGTAATTTTTCTTAAGCCCTTACTGAGTGAAAGAGAAACAGAGGTTTATTTTATTTTATTTTTAACTTTCACAGGGATCTCGCTACTTCAGGTAACCACACTTATACATGGTGTTAGTTGGATGCAGTAGATGATATTGCTACATGCCATTAAGCCTCACCATTTTAATTCACAAAAATATTTTATTTTCTAAATTACTTTTTTCTAGTCAGAGTGTTACTACTTGTTTTCTAAACTTCTTTGCTCAATATTGAGTTTACTTTTTCCTTGCCCCCAAATATCTTACTATTGTCTACTTGAACAGATAATAAAGAGATCTTCATTAAATGTGTCTTACATGTATATACGCACATATATA